TCTATTCCTAATGGTCACTTCTGAAGATGTATGTTGAAACATACGAAACGTCAAATAAATGCACTTTGTTTTTTAACATGCGTTTTATTGCCATGTTTATCACCGCAGTTTGCGTGTTTTTTCTTTCTTTACTTCATCAAAAGTTATAATTTCGGTCTATTTTAAAAAAATGCGTTATTTTCCTTATATTGGCAAGGAAGGATCACCACTTTTGTTGATAGAGATATTTCTTATTTCATTACATTAGACAACAAACTGACAAAGGTAGTGAATTGGTTTGCACAACTTGGTGGAAAGTACGCATCACTTTCTGTTCAGCCACTTTCCTTTTTCCTAGTTTGATTTCCTACTAAAAGCAACAATGCAATGAAATCATATATGGCCACATCATGGTTTTGTTATTGTCGTTGTCGTTAATCGATGATAAAGCGAGGCCATAGAATACCCAGAGACGTTCCTTAGTACTGTATGTTCTGATTGGCTAGTGAGAATTGAAATCTCTTACCCACGCTCTTTGTATGGTATTCACCAACGTTTCCCTCAATTTAAATAAATTTGTTTCTGGTGATAGGTAAACAATACCTACCTCGCTGCTTGCATAACTGCAGAAGCTCTGCTCCCCTCTCCCTCCCCAACCCCCTCCCAATCCTCAGTCAGCTTCGCCTCTTTGAACACCCGCACTCGAACGCGAAGAACTCTGACCTCTAAGTTTCTGATCCATCTAAAGCTCTCTTAAGTTAAATGTAGCATAATATTATGGAGCCTTTCCTATCATCGCCTCAAGAAAAATATAGCCGTTATGACTGCCAACCAGTATTATTTCGACCGCGAACTACTTTCCATTGCAAATTATTCAAAGTGCACGTGTTGATGCTGATAATTATTCATCTCATGTTCAGTTATTCACCATCATCTTCGTTGGTTCTTGTTCTGTCGGCGTTTTTATCAAAAACAAAGAAACATTCGCTAACCTAATCTTGTAAAACCGCTAGTTATGACGTTAGTAGAAAGAGACAGATATGCTCCATAGCCAGGTAACGATTATTGGACAGAAACAACGATATGTTTGTCGTGAAGTCAAGGTACACGTGCTTAATCATGGAAATTCAGTCGAGCTTGCAAGGTTTCGATGTGGCTGGTGCGTCTTCGTTTGATCTTGTGCCAGGTTGGTAGAACCACATAAACCGCTTTTGAAGCAGTTGCTACTTATATTTTTTGAAACTTTTTCCGCTTTCAACCATAGACGTACAGTTTACACGGCCATTCAGGTCAAAATGTTCGGCGTTAGTGAAATTATGCTCCTTTTAAGCTTACTTGCTAACTAAACATTCCGTTTAAGATTCCTTTCCGTTCAAGGAAAATCCGGTTGACTTTTAAAGTCCAGAAATCACTTGATACTGATGCAATTCTGTGATCTTGGCAATCAAAAGTCGAGATCAAGTATTAGCTGCTTAAATAATTAAACTCGCATCAGTTCTGCCCTACTTTTTGTTGCTGTTGTAGTTGTTGTCGTTTTATCACTGTGTGTTTTTCTTGTAGGTAGTAGGACGTATGGGGAGTTTAGTCTTTGGCCTGTAGCCTGCATTTCTTCACAGTTACATTTAATGGTAAGTTAACTACAGTATTCAGTCGTTTTCATTTGAAAAAAAGATTGACTTAAGCGATTCCAGTTTCAAATTTTTATTCTTCGATCTACTGGGCCGTTTACACTTTATGTGAGGGAGCAAAAAAACCGCAAATCAAAAATCATTTGAACATCATCCGCACTGGTATCAAACCAAAGGTGAGCATCATTTTCTAGATGTGTCGTGTCGTGTTTGTTTTTGTATGTCAATCGGCATTGGAACAGAAGTCTGGTACACGTAAGTCATCTCACTTCTGGTTTGTTTCTTTGCGATATCCAAGGTAAAACAAAGTCTGTGACGACATCAACGAACGAGCACAACTTTTATACGTCATCGAGTACGTACTAAAAGTTCATTGTTACATGGCAAATGACGGTATGTGTTTCTCCCTGCTTTTGCTGAATCATTAAAAGGAAACAGACCTAGGAGGACCGATAATAATGTTATTTACCCATAAATAATATCTTTGTATTGTATATGTAGCCGCGTCTTTGGTGACAAAATATTTCCTTTAAATTCTCATTTCTGCTAACTGATCGAGTGATTTCCGGAGTGATGGCCTAAGGGAATAACTGACTCACTGACTCACTGACTGTTTGCGCATGCTAACCTGCCTGCTTGAGTCACTGATGGATAATTTGCCTGAATGACCGACTGACTGACTGATTGATTGATCGATCGATCGATCGATTGATATATATATTGACTGCCTGCCTGCCTGCCTGCAGGAGTGACTGATAAATCAATTAATTGAGTTGATTTAGTTAATCGATTGATTCATTGATCCATTGAGTAATTGATAAATTGATTGACTGCTTGATTGATTAACAGACTGACTGACTGACGGACTGACTGACTGAGTGATTGTTTGATTCCGATCCTTGTCTGACTGACTGACAGATTGATTGATTAATTAATTGATCGATTGATTGATTACTTCAATGACTAGCTGACTACTGGCTGAATAACTGACTGACTGACTGNACTTTCGAGCCTGCCTGGGTGACTGACGGACTGCGCGTTTGTGTATTAGTTTGCTTGCTTGATTGATTGAGTGATCGATCGATTGATTGGTCGACCGACCGACCGACTAACTGAGTTTTTGACTGACAAACTGATTGACTGACTGACTGAATGAATGAATGAATGAATGAATGAATGCCGACTGACTGAATGAATGACCAACTGACAGACTGTCCGACTGACCGACTGACTAAGTGACTGACTGACTGACTGACTGACTGACTGAGTAACTGACAGACTGACTTCTTGTCTGTCTTAGTGACTTACTGACTGCTTGCTTACTAGCTTGTTTACTTGATTTATAGATTGATGACGTGCTTGACTGCTTGACCGACTGACAGACTGACTGAATGAATGAATGAATGAATGAACGAATGAAGGACGAACGAACGTACCGACTGACTTTATAATTGACGGACGTACGAACGGACGGATGGGCTGACTGACTGACTGCTTGAGCAGTGCTGTGCCACTTAGCCCGAAAAATGTTATGTTATGTGGTAATATCTAGCAAGCCACTTAACGTGTTCTTTATGTTATGAAACAGTAACTGGAAATATTGATGCTTAAATTTACCCTTTTAACTGTTCTTGTTGTGGAATTTTTGCAGAGCTGGTCAACGCAATGATTATGATCCATTTCTGTGGTACCAACGAGATTCAATGAGGTAAGTTCGCAATCCTATTCGTGTTTTATTCACTTAGGTTAGAGCCGTTTGCAATCGAGTGTCTAAAGTAATCTGAAATTGCTTTGGTTTTGTGTTACTAACTAGTCAGGTAAAAAAATCGAAAACAATTGCGAGTTGGGCATGCGCGTTTTTCTTCTTTTGGACGGTCCATTACGTATATTTGCCACGAGGTTCTTGTTGGTTTATTGAGATTCGGGAATCGTGGAATCGTGTTTATTTTTTTTAAATATATATTCTCATTTATTTTTTGTGGATGGTTTAAAGTTTAAATGCTCCAAATATGAAAAATCGCATTATAAGGAAATGATGGCATTTAATTTAACTTTACGCGTCATATAGTCTCTTCTCGTTCGAAAATGTTGGGAAATTTCTTGCATTTGAAGGTCTTTTAAATCAACCGTTTTTCTCGTTTTAATAACCGATTTTCAAATTATCGCTGACGTTCACAGTACACTGTTAATAGGTCATTTTCATTTCGACCCAGATTAAGCTATATTCAGCGCAAAACTTTCGAGGCAATCGAGACATCTCTTTGGTGACAGATCGAGATTCACCGCTGGTCTTTTAAAGGAAAGTTCTCATCAGGTCAACGACCAAAATGTAGAAACTCTAGCTATTGTCAGCCTTCTCATAGAATTCAGTCTTAAGGATAGTTTCAGCTCCTGAAGGGTGTATGACTAGCCATACGTATAACAAAAGACGTTTTAAGAGAAAGGCGTGCATCAATCTCGGACGTACACTTTGGAGTGGAAGGGTATCTGGGGGAGTTTTCTTGACCCGCCTCAATTTAAGAGTTTCGATTAGCTACTTTTTACCCTGCACAAGGTTTTAACCTGCAAAGATGTTACAAATAGCTGCCTATTTACTTTCGAATGTTATTTTTCATCAGTTATTTTTGAGCTAATCGATTGGGGCAAGTAAGAGCTTTTATTGAAAAAGCAAGTCAGATTTTGCGACAATTTTGCCGTTCTCAAGTACGACTAAGAAGGGGACAGTAAACAACAACAAAAAATTCATATTCAATGTACAGTTCTATTTTCATTCCTTTGGATGTTGTGTATACAATTTGCGGCAAAAATATTCCCTTCAAAATCCATAGTTTGCGATTGGTGATGTGTTTTTATAGTTCATAATAGACCATAGTAGCAGCATTGATTTTCCTAAGATTTTTAATTATCCAAACTACTTTTTACGGGATTGTAGCTTTCCGTGGTGTTTCAGCAGCAAATGGTGATAGTGTTTCGTGGGCAAAAGT